GTTTTCCACCACCACCACCGCCATCAGTTGGAGGGGTGGAGGAGGTGGAGGAGGAGACGGAGGAGAAGGAGGAGGAGGACCACCCCCCCATCATACGTGGCGGTGGTCGTGGAAGCCGAGCCCATCGGATTATGCCAGCGAGTTCAACCATCCACGTGTTGCAAAGATGTTTCAAACGAAACTCCGTTCTCGGCGTAGGACGTCTTCAACAATAGCCTCCAACATGTACGTTCGTGCACGTGTCTCAGGCGAAACAACCTTTTCTGGCAGACCCGCCAGGCCCTGACCACGGAGCAAACCCGACTCGCTCCCCTCCCGGACCTCCAAAAACTGGTAAACGTGTCGCCCCCGGGTGGCAAACGACACCCGTCGCGCGACTCTTCGAATCTGAGCGTTTTTTTTGTTTTGTGAAGACGCAACCCCGATCTAGAGGTCTCGCGAATTCTCGACAAGGCCCACCCGCTCTGGGGCGAGCCGCGCACACGTGCATCTAGGATACATCATGTGTGGCTACCACCCTCTGGCGGCGGGCGCACACGACTGGCCATGGCCCTCTGGCCACGAGACAGGCGGCACGCCGTTGCAGCCGCGGAGGAAAAAACATGGAAGACAAACCGCCCTTCCCAGCTAAGCAAAGGTGGAGACGTCATGCACCACAGTGCGAATACAGAAGAACAGGGAACAACTGAGCACACGGAAAACGTAGCAGGGCGAGCACAATAGTCCGGCCGAACCAAACTCATAATCACCAGAAACTTGCTCGGATACTCCCTGTTGCGACACGTACAAGACGGCGACGAATGACCAGCCACGGGACCCAGTTGAGACAAAGATGTAGAAGCAAGGATGTATCACCACGATCGAAAATCACAAAACTGTAGAACCCATGCTGCCCCTGACCCAACAACTGCAATGGTGAGGCATGAGGAGAGGGAAGTTGTGTGAGATCCAGCTGCAACGGTTCGCCATTGCACCACAACGTGCTAGGCGGTCACCCCAGTACCCCGCCCGCCCTCTGGCGAACGCGGCGCGGTAAGTACTGTAGGATGTGCCCAGGCTTTGCACTCGCTCGCCCCCGTCGTAGTCGTCGTTGGACGGCATGGGGCTCCACGGTAGTCGTGCCGCCACCGGACGCTCGACCCTCCAGCGTGGTTCAATTCGGCGTGCGATGGAGCACAGAAAGAAGAGAAACGAAACATGTCCCGCCATCGATATGCAATCATGCTGTGCGGCGGCTTGCGACCCCGCTGACACGAAGGAAATCGCCATAATCGCTCGAGCCAGGGCCTTCTGAGCGCGCTTCCCGTCATCCAGCGGCCCGCTACTAGGGCCATCAGGCTGCGTGGCGTCGATGAGGTTCCCTTTAACCTGCTCCAGCTCCAGTTTCCAGCATCGAGTGTTATAAGTTCACACTGTGCTTACTACTGTAAATTGTTACCTGGATCGCGTGGTCTGAACCTCTGGGGCGCCCTGGGATGAGTCAAAATATGTGAGATTCACGCCGCACCCCCGAAGCAATAATCCCTCGTACATTACGCCTGGTTCGCGTTCCCGAAGCCACGAGCCCTAGCAAATAACCCTCGTAACCACCAGATTCGCGCCCCCGAAACCATGATCCGTAGCAAAGTGCTCCATATTCGCGCCCCAGAGGCTACAATCCCACATAAGGTACGCTAAATTCGAGCCCCCGACGCCACGATCCCTCGGAAATGATATCAGATTCGCGCCCCCGACGCCACCATCCCTCGCAAATGCAGTCGGATTCGTGCACCCGAGGTCACGATACCTTGCAAATGACGCTACGACTATCAGTCGTCCTCGCAGGAGGTTCCGATGTTGCTTGAAATCGGCACCCAGGCATCCGAACATAGCTTTGGCATAGCCCATTCTGATACAGTC